CTACATCATCGATCACAGCCTTTGACTCTACAGCACAGTGCAGGCCTTCTGAACACAGCCCCCACCCGCAGCTTTGCTGGAGTCAGATCATCAACAGGGCAAGGCAACCACTGTTCCCCAGAGCCTCGGGAATGCTATCGGTGTAGAAAGAACCAGAGCTGCTCCAGTGCTCACCAAAGCACCTCATGAAGCAGAGCCCTTTTGGGTCCCTGCTGGGTGCACCTTTGACCTCGCAGGCCCTAGGCTAGGCATGCCACAGTGGGCTTGCTCCTGAGACTATTATCCAAACTGCACATACTGTATGAATGTTATCTTCTCAAGGTTTTTTTTTTTATTTCTATGTGGAATTTCATGTTTTGCAGTGTCCTGAAAATAAAGATTAAATTCAGAAAAAGAAGGAGAAGAAGAAGGAGAAGGAAAAGGAGAAGGAGAAGGAGAAGAGCTCTAAAAGCATTGCCATCATTCATTGCCCCAGGGGTTCTACAGAGCAGGACAATGCAGGAACTGACCCATGAGGAGGTAGCCAAGGGAGCCTCTGGACAAGCAAGTACATTGCGTGTGAGAGCCGAGTCGCACCACCCTGGGAAGAGCACGCAGACTAGGCCCTGGGGCACTCAACAGATCCATGTCCCATATAAAAGGCAGATTCAGGAATGCCAGCACAGCTGTGCACAAGGCTTTTGGGCTTACCATCTGGCCACCTCCTTCCTGAGGCAGTGAGCTCCCCAAGGCCCTATTTGTGCCCAGTATTTCTCTGAAGGCTAACATGTTGCTCTCCCAGCTAGGACAGCCAGCTGCTAACGTAAAGGGCTACAAAAGCCAGTGGGTCCTGGTGCAAGCATGGGATTTTGTCCTCATCCTCCCTGCTCTGCACTGCCCCCCAATCAGCCCACTCCTCCACCCTTGGGCTCAGCTTCTCAGCTAGGGACAGAGCAGTCCCGTGGTAAGTAACCATTGTCTACTCCTTCTGTTAAAGCTATGGCAGCAGAGGTTTCATGGCAACCAGCACAGGAATAAAGTAAGGTGACAGAAGTAACTCAGGTTTCAAGCAGAAAGGAAACAAAGCTCAGATTGACCTCTAAGCTCTGAGTGGTGACACACACCTGTAAGCCCAGCTAGTGGAGGCTGAGACAGGAGGTCTGTAAGAGAGAGGATAGCCTGCGCAACCTACCAAGAGCCTGTCTCAAAAACATACAAAACAAAGGGTGTGGTGTGTGGCTTAGAGAAAGAGGGCTTGCCTAGCATGTGCGAGAACCAGGGTGGGCTCGTGATCAGTGTCAGCCCCAGACCTGTGTCCCCTCATCCTATGTCTCTGTGCTGTTCCCCACCTCCACTGTGTCTCACTCCTTGTACTGTGGGCCTAAGATCTTGGGGATCTTTTCCCCCACCTCCTTTCTCCCTCTCCTTCCCCCTCTCCTCACCCTTACCCTCAGCCCATAGCCTCATTCTGTGCCCATCTTGCTCCTGCGCAAGCTGGGCAAAGAATCCTCACCAAGAGAACAGCACAGACAGGAGAGCACAGGGTGCACCTGGGA